ACTATATGTTTATGCACATGCAGATTTAGCACAAAAATACTCCGTTGGTCTGCAGGAAATCTTTGTCTCCAGGTTGTGCTCCCAGGAAGAAAATTATTTTTTTCTGCACTGGATCGCGCATGGGAGATCAGTATGTATACTATATGAGCGTTAGGTTTTTAGCCAGAAGGGCGTCCAGGCGTCCTGGGACGCCCATAGAACGAAAAGTGGACGCCCAAATTCTGGGGTGAAAGGGAAATTATTTTCAATGATTTTCTTAAGTATATTAATATATACGAAACGAAATAATTTCAATTCTCATTATTATTATACATTTGACATTTTGATCAATTTTATGGTGTACCTGGCTGAATGAAAATGTCGTAGTTAGGTAAAGAAGCATAGCGGCACAAACTCACAAAGCCAAGTGTGTTTGAAAAATTTCGAACGAGCTTGGAACAGATACTGACATGAAGTAACGTAAATTTCAAAGTACTACTGTAGATGTATCGTTATACCAAGATTGGACGCCCTCTTTCAGGACCCTGACTAAAAGCCTGATTATTATTGATCGTACATCTGACCCCATGGCCATGCGAGCTATTTTTTATTAAAGTTTTATTAAAGTTTTATTGAAGTTTAATTGCACAGGTATAGTAACAGACATGTTTTACTGATGTTATTTTTATCTTTAAATTTAGATTCCAAAATGGTGTACGAGCTCTTTGTCCCTACCAGCTTTTTCAAAGAGAAAACTGGAAAGACGATTTTATCTGTGAGAAAAATTAGTGAGGTGAATTAAGTTTTTTTGAAAAGAAACCTAATTAGCGAACCACTAAGGCCTGTTTTAATTTCATACGTCGAATTGTGGTCGCGTCGAATGCAATTAAGACAATAGATAATGAGATGATAAACCTCATTAAGCTTCATTATCTTTTGTTTGAATTGCATTCGACCGAAATTGGACGTATAAAACAGGCATAACGTAACATAACATAACAACTCACACATATCGTGCTTTTCTTGTATTTTGGGGTTTGTTTTCTAACAAGATAATAATTCTTTATAGGAACCTTTGACCGTCATGGATGTAGCTAAAATCAAGGTAGATTTTTCAAACAATTTATTCGAGTTATCTCTTCTTCTTGTCGTTTTTGTCAGTTTTTTGTTTGTTTTTATCGTTCGTCTTTCTTGTGGTCGTTGTTGTTTGTTTTTGTCGTTTGTCGGTGTTGCTGTCGTTGTTGCTGTTGTTGTTGCTGTTGCTGTTGCTGTTGCTGTTGTTGTTGTTGTTGTTGTTGTTGCTGCTGCTGCTGCTGCTGTTGCTGTTGCTGCTGTTGCTGTTGTTGTTGTTGTTGTTGTTGTTGTTGTTGTTGTTGTTGTTGTTGTTGTTGTTGTTGTTGTTGTTGTTGTTGTTGTTGTTGTGGTCGTTTTCCTTGTTGTCGTCGTCGTCGTCGACGTTGTTGCTGTTATTTTAACTGCAGTTTTGAACTTGACCGCCATTTGCTGTCCTTTAACCCCAACTGAAACACAACCATACTGTTCTGCTAAGTGTTTACCCAACATCGTGACATTTGTCTAACAGTACACTCAACATATATATGTCCTTTATGTAACAGTTCACTGGTGTCGAGAGCCCCGTTGCCTCATTGAGTGTGCCAACCTCTGCGGCCACTACAGCGAACAAAGTCGATATTTCAAGCACGCCTAAACCCTCATCAACGCAACGTTCTTCAGAGTCGGCCAGCTCTCCGAGCGCAACAATGACTGGAAACTTAACAACAACCAGTAATCGACAGATGCTTGGTAATTTGTCAACAACTAGTCCGAACACCAGTTCTGATCACGAGACAACGGCCAGTCCTTCAACGAAACGTGTTCCAGCGGTACCTACAACGCTTGGTACGTCGGCAAAACCAAGAACGGCCGCTTCTGTTTCTTTATCCAGTTCTTGGGATCGTTATATAGGTCAGGTATGTAATGTCCGAAGGAAAGATTTGCTCCATGTCAATTGTCAAATCTCAAGCGCTTGTGTGGGACTCAGGAATTTTTCCAAAGCTTTAAGAGGAGATTTATTTGTATGTTACGTAACACGCGCTCAAAAAACTAACGAGTATAATATACTACTTGCGGTTATGATTACATTCAAGAATTTTATTTTTCGGTACGCTTCTCAATCGGCAAACAAACTTAAAAAGTATGTTTAGTGCTTTATCTGTAAAATAATGCTAAAATGAAGAGAGTTTAGATTGTACACCAAAGAGAAAATGATGTCTGAAGTTCAGTAAGTTTTGCTTATATTGCTGTAAATATGGCGTCATCAAAGCATCGTTGATAATAAATCTCAGTGTACAACATACTGTAAATATCCTATAGGGTTAAGGTTATATATATGGTCAGTTACATTTTGTTTCATAAACACAATATGAAGATATCATTTATAGCAAAGTAATACTGTTTTTAAAATTAGCATATACTCGGCAAGCAATTTTTTGTATTAAACGAGGCAGTGGTTTCGGCCATAGAGTTTTGTTTAACAGTGTGCCCAAAATCTTCTATAGTTCAATAAGTTCTTTGTAAGTTTGTATGGCGACATTCCACTATATTTTGCTACAATATAATATGCTTCGTTTCAGGAAAGGATAATTGTTGCCGCCAAGGAAAGATTACTGTTTGTTCCTATTGCATCCTGTGGTGCCCTGACGTGTAGGTAAGTTGCTGACGCAATGAATGATTCCAATTACAGACTAAATTTTGATCCAGACAAAGACGAAATCTGTCATTAGCTTAAAAGAACATCCTCAAATTAGTGAAATTGCCAAATTTGGTTGCAAAATATTGTAAAATACGGGAAATATAGCCCTGTGGAATTAGAACATTTTTTGGTATTTTAATATTACGCGCGGAAAAATCACTTTTGAGCCGAAAGTGGTGTATTTTTTCCACAATACTAAAATACTCAAAATTTGCTAATTTCACAGGGCTATATTTTTCGTATTTTACAACATTTCGGAACCAAACTTGGCAATTTTACTAATTTTAGGATGCTCTTTTGAGCTATAATGATAGATAAAAAAAATAGTCGATAGCTGTTTTACAAAGTTGAGTTTTGAAAAACTCACGAGTGTATGTTTTTCAAATTGCACGAGAAACCATACTATTACTTGTTAATAATATACATGAAAAAATTATGCAGTCACATCCGTGGATATAGGTCACGTGCGAAATACTAATTTTAATGTAAATAATTTTCTTAGAAAATCTACTAAAAACGCCAGTCATTTTTGTCACTTGTAAATGTTTGGGGTTTTTGTATTATTTTCTGCTAGAACTGGCTGTATCTTATAGTCAACGAAATTTGCAATGTATTTCATTTTTTGGCACTGTTTTTCGAAAAGATTGCACTGCTATTAGCCAATCAGAAATTGTTTCATGTATATTATTATGTTTAATATTTTTTCAGAGAATGTATCGAAGCGAAGACTCCTTATTGTGCATGGAAAAATGGACATTGTGTCCAGCTTAATGCAACTGAAAATGGGTAAGCTAGTTGATGTATGAAATGGCAAGCTAGGTAGAATCATAACTTCTTTGAGCTACACTTCAACAAAACGATTGAAGGTACAGACAACAGGATTGAGGAGTCCCAAATTAAGTCCTACCTACATATTCACTCATCTTGTTTTAGGGCGGCGAACGACGAATTTCGCCAGCGCTAAGAAGACATTTGGCAGCCATTCGCCAGAGGCTGTGTGTAATTCGCCGGTACTTGCAGTCATGACAAGCTGAAAATTTTAGCCCGGTCTTGCACTCGGACAATAAATCAAATAGACAAAGCTTGCAAACCTTTGCCCACCACTCAACTCACAACGCCCTTGAAGCTTCGACCTTCCATTCTATGCATACTTGCTTCGCTCATCAATTAATAGCCGGAGCCTCAGTAGAGCAAAACAGTATTGGCCATACCCAAATTATTGTTAGCCAGGACTTCAAACGGATACCTGAAGGGCTGCACAGTACATTGATATTGCGAAACGATGGAGAGGGTTACAAACTTTCACAAAGCTGCAACACAACATTACAACACACGATCAATGCGTTCCAAACCATCCACACTTTCCAATGTTAATATAAACTAGACATGGACCGGCCATATATTACGGTCCTTTCTAAGTCATCAAATTATTAAGTTTTGCTATTATAGGTTACTAAATATAGTAAGTATGTAGTATGTAGTGGTATGTCATCTACAGTAACATCCTGATTGTCTGTTCTAGGGCGTACAAACAAGATATTGAACATGGCGACTATTCTAAGTTGTGCCCAAAAGGTAAATAGTCACAAATCATAATATGCAACTACCTGAAAATATATAAGGAGAATTTCGACGTTTCGAGTGAATATTCTTCGTCGTGAAGTTATAGTAGCGGGTTTCGGGAAAACAATATTAGAGACCTTACGATTTTAGGACGGCAACGCGAGAACGACTGCCAAAACAAACTCCTTCAAATAAATGGTAGTAAAGATAATTCGTCGTACATTATCAATCGTATGAGTTTAATACAGGCTTAGAAGTTGAAGACATGGGTTTTATGGTTGGGAAGAGTTCTCCTGAACCCAGTTTGAAGTTGCACTTGTTGTGGCTTGAAATGCAGCCGTTGTATCAAGACGTGAAAATCTGTGATTTGGCGTTGTAAACAGAGCGAGGACAATGTCTAAATTATTCATATATTGTAATTATTCAATTCTTTTCAATGATCTATTGTATTGGTAGCCGTTGCTGTCGCGTTGCCGTCCTAAAATCGTAAGGTCTCTATTAATAAAAGCGATTGTGTGACAAAAATTAAATTAGTCTAGGCAAAGTACTACACACGTAAAAACGCACAAGTTGTTACAAGTCTGCAAACAAGTTGTTACAAATCTGTTCACAAGCTGTCAACAAGTTGTGTTCGCACTGCTTGTTCCCAGTTTGTTGTAACAAGTTTGGAACAAGCTGTTAACAACTTGTAACAAGCTTGATGGTATTATCAGACTTGTTGCAAGGTTGTTCTAACAAGTCTGATACAGTCATGATATAACAAGAATGTTACAAGGTTGATGACACAAGGTTGTAACAATATTGTTATGTCATGACTGTATCGGACTTGTTGGAACAACCTTGCAACAAGACTGATAATATCAACACGGTTGTTACAAGTTGTTAACAGTTCCAAACTTGTTGACAACTTGGGACAAGCAGTGCGAAGACAACTTGTTGACGGGTTGTTGGCAGACTTGTTACAAGATGTGAGATTTTTACGCGTGAGATTTTTACAATGTAATAGTGCAATCGGTAGCCAAGACTGTTCCTTCAGCGAGAACAGTTCAGCATTGATAGAGCTATCCACGTTCACAGAGCAAATTCTAACATGTGTTTTCGTATGTCTTTATTTCACAGTCAACGCTACATGTAAGTTGGTCCAACTTAACAAGCTGATTCCTCGTGCAGGCGTCACGCTTCAATGTTCACCAGCTGGCGTACCAACGGCACGTGTGTCGTATTGGTCGAAAGACGACAAGCGATTGTCTAACAACTCGAATGAAGGCGTTATCATAAATGGCGGGGAGCTTAAGATTCGAAGTTATACCCCAGCGACTGCTGGGAAATATACATGTCACGTGATCAATAATGGGACGTCAAACAGTTGTTCTGTTGAAATCCCAGGTATGTGAATAATAATGAGTCTAATACACGATCAATTTTGAAGTGAAAGCCCTTTGTCATAAAGTTTTAGGAACAGTACGTGTCAAAAACGAAATACCTGGGAAGCGCAAGATATTTTGACAGGCTTTAAAACATCGATCAGTCACAGGCATTGTCCGATCCATTTGTGAAATTGTCGGACGTAGAGATGAAACCACCGGACATTTTGTCCGACTTAAGTTAATCTGAGGTTTGTTTGTCCGACCCAAGTGTATTGGTGTCCGACCTAACTGCGACTTTGTCCAACGTCAGTCAAAATGCACCCTATTCCAGGACAAGAGGCTCGTATGTTAAATTAAGAATCAGAGTAATGTATGAAAAGTGAACTGGAAATGTGTAATCAAGTGCGCGGTTTTCGCCATGGGTTCAAATAGGCTTGGGCGGTTTACCGGTTTTTCGTTTTTTTCCGGTTTTATTTTCAAACCGGTTTTTTCGGTTTAGCTTTTACAAAAACCGGAAAACCGTCAT